ATAAATAATATTGAAAAGAAAATAATAATGTCAAAGTGCATGCACAAACAAATACTATTCAAAAATGGCACGTTATGCAGCCTGTTAACCGTTTATATACTAGCGGTATGTTTCTCGTGGTTCTAGAGCGATCGATAAGTCTCTCAAGTCAGTGGTTGTCAACATTTTATGCATAACAAAATGTGACCCGATTTCAATGAAAGTGATTAACTTATGTAAACTTTCATATGATGTAAAGTCACATGAGCCTAATGCCTGTAAAAGTATAGGCAGTCCTACTTTCCCACCATTAATATTGTTACGCCTCTAGTCGTTAGTTAATTTTCCTTAAATTCGTTCCGACGAAACTTTAGCGACACAAGTCCTTTCTTAAATAAAACTGGTTTATTCTTTCCGAATACAACTTTACAATACACTTAATTTCAACAGTCGCTCTGTAACAAACGCTATAACGTCTCACGTGCTCGTGCTCGACAATATTCAATTACACACTCTCTGACTGCAGTTCAATTACTCATTACCTACACATTGTCCCGTCACGTTGTGACCATCTTATATATACCAGCTACCCCCAATCTAGTAATCTCCCGACAATTCACAAAGGTTCGAGAAAGAAGTGGCGTGATACTAGTCACGTGACCTCGCTGACGCTACAATATGATGATTCTACACATGGTTCACAAGACAAAATGCTACATGATAAACATGTAAAAATCAAAGCTCGGCTAATGAAAAATATCCCACTTGCCAAACTGAGGTGAAATTTTATGTTTTAATAGGAGCTGTACAGAAACTGTGAAGGGTGTATGTGATAATAGCACTATTGATAATACAATCGCTATCAAGGTAAAAGGTTCAAACACTTCAAAAGTGGTATTAAGTAATTCAGAGCATGATTTTCAACCGATACACGATAATCCTATGAGATCTTGCCAACGACCAGCTATAAATATATGTGTGAACGTTACTTCCAGGTGCAAGCAGGTTTTTATTCATCGCGTGATTGCCTTAGGAACAAGACTTGTTAGGCAGGGACACATCTTCTAGCAAGGTATTAATCAAGAGTATCCAGAAGATGTGGTGAAACGGTACTTGGCAGGGAAAAAAAAGCCGATGAAACACTTGCAGCTATGATTTGGCCTGCAGTACATGTCCCTTTATGAGTATTATTAAAGCTGTACAGGCTTATATAGAAACTACGATGGTAAAACGGCAACCATAAACTTGTCTAAATTGTGGAGAGTAAAGCAGTACATTTGAGAAAATATTTCATAATCATACCTTGATAAGCGTATGGTAGTATAAAAAAAGGGTATACCGGCCTGTTTAAAATATATACAAAATACTAATGGATAGTATAACTTATTTGGTTTTCTTGTAATTTTTTAACAATTTATTTTACTAAGGATCAATGGACAATTTAATTGAAATTATTCATTGTTTGTGACCCCTGTATGCGAATCATCTGTACTTTTCAGTTATTTCCATTATTGTATTAATAAGAAGTATAAGATATTTAGGTGCAAAGAAATAACCAGAAATCTTAATATCAAATTTGAAACAAAAGCGATATCTGGAGTGCATCTGCGCATATATGAAAGATATGTCCAAAGTATTATAGTTTCATTTTCCTCAATACATCAACTGCTTCTATAAAAAATAAGTATGATGCAGTGAAATTAACATCAGTATTTTTACCTTGAGGGGAAGTTTATTTTACAAATTCTATTCATGTACCGTAGGCATATATTTTATCTTTCCTGCTGCGCCATCTATAATAAAACACACTACTCTAGCAGACGATATTCTAGTAAAGATATCTTGTTTGTCAACCGACGTTGTGTGTAAGATTTATTATTGTGAACTAGTACATATTACTAGCTCTACCGTCTACGGTAGATATTTCTATACACTACAGTATAGTTAGTGCATTGAAAATGTGTATTTAATGATATTATATACCTATTTTTAAATAATATGGTACACAAATATCAACGTTTAAAATATAATAATAACTGTTGAATTAAAAAAAATTCAACCGTGAAATAGTAAATCTAAAAGTAAAACTAAAGTCTGGCGTAAGCTCTGAGTTAAACAAGCAAATTTATTTTGTTTGTATTCTAATATATAAGATTCGAGTAAGAGTAAGACCCGGTTAGGTTTGCTGATGTAGTACCGTAGTGACTAACATTAGTGACTCAGATAAGCAATAACTATTACTATTAGGATTGATTAATTCGTGAGCCATACATATAGCACTCAGCAGTGAGGTTTAAGTTTTACTTTTAGGAAAATCTATCGTGTTACTGTTACTTTAGTCTTTAACGTTAGTAACAATAGTATTAGTATTAGACCAGACTCAGAGTATACCTAAAGCGTTAGTAACATAAGTTGCCCTAGGAATACGTTTTTTATTGGTAATGTCTGATACGAAATAATATTTAGATATTAATACGTTGAAGAATGATAATATTAACTATATACTATAGTTGTTAGGCAGGCCGTAGCACTGCCTATGTAGTATGCAGGGATGATTCGGATTGCTAATCGAAATGGTATTTTAAATATCTCCTCAATAGGTCATCAGAAACTTACAATACTATACAGTGTTTCCTTTTATAACGATGTACAAGTTTAGGAAACGTCTGTAAATATCATAGCAAAAGTTTGAATTTCTTGTCCTTCTTAAAGTTTTTTTATTACATAATAACTCAAAAACAAAAACTAATGTCAACCAACTTCACTGAGGTGACATAGTTTCAAACGGAGTATCCGTTTTTATTGGTATTATTAATAACATATAGTAATTTTAAAAAAAATTCATAATTCTAGTGTAAATGATGATATCATTACCCTTTGAAGTTAGCTTTCTTACAGAAATTTAGTGTTCCTTTAAAAAGGTTAAGTACAGGGTGAAACAGGAATTATCAGCCAATAATAGATAGATAATAAATATTACAGTTGGAACTTAGTTATAAGTACAAGACTTCCTATGTCTAATGAAACACTGCATTAAAAAAAAAACAAGTAAAGAAAAACTTTTCAAAAAAAGAAAGTAAATATAGGGATGGCTAATATCAATTCTTCGAAAACAGTGCAAACAAGATAGTAGGGATGGTATTTGGATCATCCCTACTTAATAGAATAGGCAAGAATTAATATATAGAAATATATATAACTATTCAATCACAAATGAGTTTAATTTATCCTATTTTTGTTTGTTAACTTTGTACTACACTGTGTGCCTGTGCAATTATTTAAGGGTGATGGAAATGCCTTCCCTACTATCTTGTTTGCATTGTTTTTGAAGGATTGATATTAGCCATCCCTACATTTACTTCCTTTTTGAAAAGTTCTTTTTTTACTTGTTACTATTAGTAGTAGTTCAGACTCGGAGTATACCAAAAGAGTTAGTAACTCATGTGTCCCAGACATATGTATTGTCCTACTGGTGAAGCGGTAATGACTGATACCATATAATATTAATATATTGATACCTCAAAGGATGATAATATTAAATACACAGTAGTATTTTATAACGTATATAATATTAATACCATTATTTGGGTTTGACATTACAAAGCTTGCCACTAAGTAACTCTCACTCAGCATCAGTGCCAGTGAATGAAATATGAATCATAATGCTAACTTGATATTATTTATTGTTTGAGATTAAGTTTAAAAAATAATATGTTTCAATGCTTGGTATTTTTTATTTGAAATTGATTGACTATTGTTAGTATTAGAAAACTTGTTCCTTAGTGCACTTTGATTCACTGGTGCAGCATAAATAATAAAAATTCAGCTCATGTAATAATAAACTGTAGAAATATAGGGTGTGCTATGTATATTTACTGTGTATGAGTGAGTGATCACTGTTTTTGTGTACATTTTATCATTTTAGAAAGTCACTCCAACTAGTAGCCAAAGTGGTGTCATCACATTTCATGCATCAACAGTTTTAGATACTATCTGCCATGTGCCATTTTCTTTTTCCTCCTTTTTCTTTTCTTCATGTTTGGCATTATTTTATAAGCATTTGTGGAGTGATCAGGCCATTTCTAGGGTTTTTTTGGGCAGGTCCACCCAGAAAATTTGTTTAAAATTTAATGCTATGAGATTGAACCTTGAGCCATTTTAACTACAAATACTGCATACACACACTGTAATGTATTGAATTAAACGAAGCAAGTTTTAATGCATAAGTTGTAGCTATACATGCCATGAAAAAGTGGTCAGGCCATGGCCTGACTGGCCTTACTGCTTGCTACAACCCTGTTTGGATATGCAACACCCCAATACCAGGTCAGCAAGACTTAATTACTACAAGAACCTTAATCTGACAACCAAATAACAATATGATCTTAAGTTAACTATTGTTCAGCTAAGTTCCAGTTCCTAGCCCTATGCCTTGACAAAATACAGGATCAATAGTCCCAGTAAGTGGTCCACTATCATATATAGTTAATTAACTAACAGCTCTGGTCCTGCAACATTTGATTAGTCTGACATGAAGGCCTATAAATATATGGGCTTTTATAACTATTATGGAAGCAGTCATGTAAGCTTACAGTTGATGTGGTATTATGCTGTGGAGTCGTATTTCTCAGTGTGCATTTTGAAAGCCAAAGTTATTCCCCTCTCAGTGACTTACCAACAAATTCCATGAGGCTTGGGTAAATATTTTTGTAAGTCATAAGGCTACTGATGCTGACTAGTTTTATATATGGAATGAGTGCCCTTATGTATGATATTACAGTGATTTCTCAAATAGTTTCTAATATTTGAAAATTCCCAAGTAAAATACTGGAGGGGAGGGGAGCTGGATATTTAGAAAAGTTAGTTAATTTCATTAATGTGAATGAAGTGTGCAAAAGTTATTATTTTGTGTTTTTAGAAACACCTAAAATTGTTTTTCTTTTTAAATTTTACTGTTGCACATTGAGTTAGCAGTAAGTTTACAGACTTAAAAGACTAAAATATGGGATTCAATTTACCATAGTGAACAGAGCATGCATGGATAGTTTAATGTGTAGCTTCACAGTAAAACAATATTTACGATGCTTAATGCTGAATGGTCAGTATTGAGGTGTGTCGAAGTAAACAAAAGAGGCTAGTTAAAGAACTATTCAAGAGGATGAGAGGATCAAATGTAACTTGTTAATGTAGAAACTGAAATTTAATGCTGAGGGTTTTTGTGTGGCTGAGTAGTAGAGCTGGAAGATAAGTGGAATTTGATATTCAATTAATCTTCAGGCTTATTAATCAATTACACTCAATCAATTATTCATATATGAAACTTTTTTAGTTGGAATAATTGAAAATAATCAGAAATGGAAACACCAATTTAAAAGGGTTGATTATTTTCATGAATCATTACTTGATTAAACTGAACAACCTTGAAGTAATCAAAAATAACAATGAGAAATCATAATGGCAATAATTTGATTATTTGGATAGTTGGAATAATCAAAAATAATAGTAATCAGAAATATCAATTTTAGTTAATAGACTTAATAGTAATTTTCATTAATCTAGTATTTTATGTGACACTAATTAATGTAAGCAATCTCATATTTAATTGATTAATTGAGTTAATCAACCAACTCTACTGAACAGTAAAAGGCAAGTTGAGGAAAATGGTTGAGTGAAACTTGTGAGAAGGTTATAAAGAGTTATTGTCTTTGAACAATTTTAATAGTATTCTTACAGTTGTAAGTCAAGCTGAGGTTTCCTACCCATACAAATTATTTAGCAATAAATAAATGTTTTAAATTTTATTTGATTTATGAATGCTGTATTGAGGAAATTCACTGTGTAATAATGTAAAGTATGCAGTGCTGATGAGGTATGGTATATCCTAAACTTAAAAAATAACTTGGTAAGGAGCTAATGGTGGACATTACAATTATTTTATAAAAGTTGCCAGATATAGGGTGACTCCAGATGATTGGAAGACTCCCAGTGTAATTATTGCCTATGAAAAATATTGGTTTAAAGAAATAAAAGTCTCAGTTTTCTGTATTTAGTAATATTTTACGACTATTGTCATCAGTTATTTGGAAGATTGTCTTGAAAGATGGTATTATTTGATATTCCTAAGCATAATGTTTGGAATGGTATTCGTATTTCAATAACTTGTTTCAGTTTTGTTGATAGAGTCTGTACATGAGAACATCTATTTGAAGAATAGAACCTTATAAGATTAAAAACCACACAAATGTTAAATGCTAAGCTAGATCTTATAATAAATATTGAAATTTAAATAATAGCTTAGTAGTAGAAATCAAATTGTAATAATTAAAACACAGTTTTTTTTTATTGGGTGAGTATGAAAATGTCTGTTTATGAACCTTTGTTGCTGATTTTAATATTTACATAAATGATATTGGCAATAAATTTGTTAAAAGTGGTGATAACAGTAATTTATTTGAGAAATGTAATATTGAGGATAATGTTGCTTTAAGTCAGAGGTGTCTCTATTCTTGGTGAGTTAATTGGATGTAGGAATCTTTCTATATAAATTTTCAATTTTAAGTGTATGAAAGTTATTGTAATTTTGTATAAGTATCCAATTAGACTACTTAGAGTAAATATATCGTTGTCAGTATATCTAGATCTGTTTATGGTTATATATATCCATCAATTTTGTCCAAATGAAAATAATTTTTAAAATTAATTTTCCTTTGTTACTCAAAACTATACTGATTTAGGGATATTGTGACTACCCTGATATTGGATGCCAGAATCCCATATGATGCTAGATTTATAATTTCTGTCATATGAGAGTTTTGGGTATGAATATTCCTGACAGACCTGTATGGTTTTTTGTACATGATAGTTGATTTAAATTCCATGCATATCATATATCAATACTAAAGTTTTTGAGTTGGGTTATCACAGAGTAAATATTTCTTACTTGCATTTGTTTATTAATTTGATAAAATAAGTGCTTCATCATTACTATGTTATCTTAGATAAGAAAATTAAAGGAAGTTATCATCTGTAGATATTTCAGTGTTTCTATTGTTTCACTAATACTCTTGTTTAAACACACATCATTTTGAAGTCTATATTTACCGGTGGTGAAAATGTCATGCCCCATAGGGATTTTGAAGAACATTAAAAGAATATGAAATCAATTACTTTTTGTTTATTAAAGTAAGTGTTTAAGTTGTTGGCCATTAACATTGAAAAATGTATTGATTCAAAGTTAATGGCCAGCAATTCAAATATTTACTTTAATAAATAAACATGTAATTACTTTATTTTTATTCTTATTCAAAGTTCTTATGGGGCACAACTTTTTCATAACCTTGTATAGTCCGTGAATGTGTAAATTTATTTGATTATACATTGTAAGAGTACATCGTACAGTATAGTACCATTTTACATATAGTCTTCAAATTATACTAAACTTTCTAAACATTTGATAAAACAAGCAACTTTATTACTTTTTAAATCATGACATAAATGTTATTCTTTTATTGTTATATTTATTATTAGCCTTCACCAAAAAGTTTATATCAAAAGCCAGATCTGGTTTGTAGTGACCTAAATTTATCATAGTACACTGAAATGTGTTTCTACTTTAGATTTTGACCAGCTGTAGGTACAAATATATAAGCAACGACTTTTTAATAAAGGTAGATCTGTAGTCTAGTGAAAGCATTATATACTTGGTGTATTTATTTGAATGTACATATAACATAACATTTTGAGATAACATGGGACCACTATTGGTCCATCTTGGCTGTTCCATCTTCTAAATTAAATTAAAATAATTAAAAAAATAATAATCTTAAAGCCAGCCCTTATCATTCATTTACTTATCAAGCTTTTTCTTAAACTACACTTAAATTTACTGCCTCTACAATATCTGAAGGCAACCCATTCCAAAGGCCAACCACCCTGTCAGAAAACTCTTCGTATGACAACCCCTCTAACCCAGGCACTATTCTAGTAACCCTTCTTTGAACCCTTTCCAACAATTCAGTGTCTTTCCTAAGGTAAGGAGACCTGTACAATGAAATTATAATCTCTTTAAACTTGTATTCAGTATTTCTGTAGATACAACCTAAAATCTTATTTACTCTACCAATAGCAAAAGCACACTGCTTGAATGGCTTTAGAGACTGATTGACAATTACACCAAGATCCCTTTCCTTCATAACACTGTTGACGTTATTCCTATCCAAATTATACTTATAATTCAAATTGTGATAATAATGTTAATATATATGGAGTAGTTAAAAGTGTGTAAAAGGATTATCTTGCTGTACTATCCATTTTTGCTATATATTCGAAGACTTGCATGTGTAATCATTAACTACAAATATAGTAAATATGGGAAGTAGAAAAGACAAATCAAATTTTAGACTAATAATTATAGGCATGTCTAAAATTGATGTTAAAAACATTGAAAATCATCAAATTAAATTTACTCAATAATGGTAGCTATATATAAATTTCAATTATTTATTACTAACTCCTAACTTCATGAGTTAAAAGCAAGGAAAGGGAAGTGGGTAGTTGTTTGATTAGAATATATTATTTTGTTTTTTTACTTATAAATTTCTATAATAGGCTTATGTGATGAAAGAGTAGCACATATAATTTTACATGTATTTTCAGATTTTGTTTATGCTTTTGCATCATGGAATATCCAAAATTTCCTTCGGAAGGCTCTATAGATGGAATAGACAGCTTGGATAAAGCAAGCACACGTTCAGAAGAAGAAGAAGAATGCTTCACAGGCTTTGGCAAACAAACTAAACATTCCCTCCCTCCAGGGAGTGCTCAAGGAAAGGCAAACTTGTTGAAAAAGGATGAAAGAGTCTTTGATTTTCCAGAAACACTTTTTACATGTGTTTCTAATGAAGAAAATATAGCTTATGACTCAAGAATTTTAGATATACAACACTTTGATTGTGAAGTAAGAATAGAAACAATTTTCATTTATTGGTTATAAATGTAACAAAATGAATTGTGAACTTTCATTATAAGTTAGCTTTATTCTATGTGTGCTTGTGAAGCTTAAATCTACACATATTTATATACATTATTATTATCATAGAAGCTTAAATTTGCTGATTCCATGGACAATGAATTAGAAAGTGTAAGAAGCTAGCTCCACTTGATCAATTCCTCTATAGATAGACTAAGCCAAGCTTATATATTTCATCCTCAATGAATACAGATTCCAAAACATAAGAACTTTTCTTTGAATTTCAAACTGAAAAGTTTTTAATATCGAAACACTAGCTGAAGAATCTGTAACAGATTGCCTATATAGTGCTTGTTGCTTTTGAATGAATTTTAATTTTTACGCAAATCCAAATTTGTAGCCTGCGTTTTGAGATTCGTGAGACCTGGAATCTCCAAATTTGTAATGCATATGAGCAAAATGTTTTTAAATATTGTTCACTCTCACTTTTTTACTCATATCATGGTCATGCTCTAATTACATATTTAACAAAAATTTGTTAGTATTATAAAGCTATTTATTTCAAAATCAGTCTAGCATTATTTTAATACTGATAAACCTTGATACCATTTTAAGTGCACGTAGAAGTAAACTTTTCAAGTACATGTAGCTAAGAAATGAATGATTACAACCTTTTGCTGACTATGTAATGCTAGTATCCACTGGTAACTTTTCATTTCAAGGCCTACTAAAGATGCCAACATTTGCAACCAAATGCAATATATGTCTACCACACAATCCCAACATGGCCAATGTTGACACCAGAAAAATCACAAAAACATAGAAAAGTCTAAAGCTCTATATCAATGCTTTGGAACTGCAAGAAGGTATCTTTGTACCAAATTCCATGTAAATTGGTTGACATACACATGAATAGTTCAAGAAAACCCCAAATTGGGCTTTACTCAATGAAAAATGTATCAGAACACAAAAATTACAAATTGACTGTGTCTCTGTTTGGGACTTGCATAGAGTATCTTTGTACTAAATTCCATGTAAAATGGTCAAAATATAACGAAGTAATTGACCAAAACCCATGGAATTATGGGTTTGTTTAACGTTTGATCCCCCCCCCCCCTAAAATGGTAAAAAATGGCCATATCTCTCATTTTTGTATGGGACATGTAAAAAAAGTATCTTTGTACCTACTCCCATGTAAGTTGATCAAAATATGTTAGAGTAATTGTCAAAATACCCTAAAATTATGCTTTTTATGGCATTTTGTCCTCCTATAATTACTTAAAATAAGCAAGTCTATGATATTTTTTTTTGTGAATGTGTGGGACCTGTAGAAAAAATATCTTTGTACCGAATCCCATGTAAATTGGTCAAAATATGGCCAAATAATTGACCAAAACCCCCA